ACTCAGGCGGCCCCCTCAGTCGCCACACCTGGAAGGATGCACAATTCATTTCTTCCCTCCGTTTAGCCTATTCTGAATGGCCTCCTCTGAAGCCTCTCTCAACCCCCTTTCCCCAAAAGTATGAAACTCCTCAAAGCTGTAAAAGCCTCCTACAGAGGTTTCTACTCGCCCCAGGCCCCGGCCCGCCAGGTAGGTGGCGTGGGGTTGGGGGGATCCAAATGTTCCCATGCCTCTTAAGTTTCTTAAGCCTTTTTCTGCATTTGGAAAACTGAAGTTATAATGACTACAATGGTTTGTTATTCGGAGTAAGAAAAATAATTTCTGGAAAGACCTTATTACAAAATTTGGAACTTAGTAAGGAGTAGCTGCAATAATTTTGTCACAGATACTATCCAACCTGAGAAAATTACAACTTCTCTAGCTTGGTTTTCTCACCTCTAAGTGTAGGGACTGAGGAAATCTATGGGGAAGGTGTGAACTAACACAGAAAACAATCAGAACACAATTAAGTGCTAAACTGTAAAGTAATAGCAGCATGTCTGAGAAACGAACTGTTTCTCTACTTGATAAATGTGTGCATCAACAGGGACAATCCCTTTCGAGCCTCTTTGCTAGAAACATTCACATTCCTTAAATGTGAAATTGGTCTTTTATTGAATAATTGAATTATTTTTATTATACACCCAATTAATAGGTGTGTCATCCGTATGCCTTAGCTCTTACATAAACTATTAAGTAAAACAACCTAAAAATCCACTAAAGACAAGAAAGGAGACCGACGGTAACTTGGTATCACAGAGCAATTGCATAATGTTGTAGATGCTACCTGGCTATCGACAACGTAGTGAATAATATTAACCAGGTGCAAGGGTTTGGGTTTTAATTCTGAGTAACTACCCCACGGAGGCTGCTACCTTTCAGCTCTCGTCATTTCTCTCTGAGGAAATACAGCAGACTCTGCTCGTCCAACTGCCGGCATCACCTGCCTCATCTACTCTTCTCCCATTAGCTATAAACATGAAAGGAGCGCTCAGGAGGCTAGGCAATAATTACTCATTTATAAAGTCATCTAAACATTATAGGATGTGTGACTTTTTTAATTGCTGAAAATAATATCAAAACTTTAATTTGGGTTTAACAAACTCCAGGGAGGGGGAATGGTTCTTAAAACTTCAGTTAGAAACACAGTAATAGTAAGTTCTTGCCACAGTATTCAGAAATAGCTTGCGTTCGCACGGATCTTCTATATCTCAGACTACACTGCAAAGTGAGCAGTGTGACACATGCAGAAATAAAGGCTGGAGAAAAGTATTCAAGATACAGGGCTCTGTCTTGAACGCGCTAAACCCAGTATGTGGGCCCCACTGCCCCTTCATGAAACAACCCAAAGAGCCTTGGTAAAAGATAACCAAAAAGCCATATGGATCCAGGTGGACACAAGAAACTGCGAGGAAAGATGGCATTTTCAGAAAAAACAACAAACCATGATGACAAGACAGAGTGGAGAATCAATCTGTTAAATATATAGGCCTTGGGAACAGGAAGAATAGCTAGCCATCCCTCAGGAAAGGAACTGCAAGGAGAAATAACACTTCCAAAGAGCAGAAGTAACTGAAACATGGCTAACTTGCTCTAAGTGGGGAGACAGCCCCTTGCTTGAGCAAGCTACAAATGCTGAAAATGAACTCATATTTGTGGCAATGTTCATAGTGTGTAAGGATTGTTTCAAAGACATCAAAGACAGCACAAGAGAGATGGAAGACAAAGCCTTCCAAGGAAGGACAAGAACTCTGAAAGAAAGGTGCTGACTGACATCTCAACAGAGCAGCAAGGCAGACACAGGAAGGGGAATTATGATGGCCAAGGTAAGGCAGACTTCTGAAGTCAACACATGAGGAGTCTTCTATGGAACAAGCACTTGAGGGCCCACAATGTACCACATGTGTCCTAGGTTCAGCCATGAACAACCCTGCCCTCGTGGAGGTAATGACTGAGCTGGGTAGACACACACGGAACACATAAAGCATATAAGGCTTGAGCTTAGGTCATGGTAACTGCTCTAGAACTAGAAGACACGTAAGTTAGGATGTGAAGGAATGATGGGAGGAGGATGGGTGTTGGAAACACTTTCATCGGGCAATCAATCAAAGACTAGCAAAAGGCAAAGAGACGACGATAGAAAATTCTAGAAAAGTAACTGTTTATTGAGTAAGACCTCCTGGGTACAAGGGTAAGGTTCCATGCTTACAGGAGAGAACAAAAGCATGCAGGCACTTTAAGAGGGCAAAAGAGAGACTATCTTGGTACAGACACCAAAAGAATCTAGCTTCAGGGACAGGTGACACAGAAGCTGCAGACAGACGGAAACACTGTCACCCAATCAAAGCCAAGCTCAAGATGAGGGTGCTGACCCTTGGCCTGCACTGCCGAGAAGCCACCGCGATGCTGACCCACTTCTGAGGTCGAGTAGGTGAGTGACAGCATGTCTGCGGCTGGTGAGTGGGCTGACAAGTGCGCTACCCTCTCCAGCCCGGTCACACCTGCATTTGAGTCATCAGCCGCTCCACAGGGCTGTGATCAGCTCGGAAGGATCATAGCTTCTTTAATCTCTACATTCTTAATAACTAGTAAGTAATGGTGCTTCAATAAATGTTTAACAAGGCCAAGTTTAAATCACATGACTCAAGAAGGAGGGACTGAATAGCTAAAGGTTTGATGAAGTGAGAAGCAGAATGAGTCCCAGACTCATGCTGCGTGTTCAGGGAGACTGCAGTTGTCTGACAGTTCGGTAAGTGGGGGGAGCCAGAGACTGCGTCTAATACGGTGCAGAGCCCTGAGAAACTCACTGCAATTCCCCGTCTCAATTTGTAAATGAAAATGTGGGAGCAAATGAGAGGTTGCAGGCTTTTCCGAGGAGACTAGGTGCCCATCATTATCCCAAAGCCTGTGGCCCAAGTAGAGGGGCAGGCCTCCCTTCTGGCTGTGCTCCCAAATTATAGGCAATAAAACATACAGCTGGTATGGCCACCGCACTAAGGACCTTTGAAGCTGTCCATCAAGAGTGGTGGTGATATGGTGGTGGGGAGACAGGAATTTGGGGGACCAGTGAGCAACAGTAATGAGTTATACAGATCTCAAACACCAACAGTGGCCAGCCCAAGGAAAAGCTGAATGAAACAAACAGGCACATACAATCCCACTGTCACGGTGAAATAAGACAGAGAAATCCACTTTACAGGACCACGACCCGAGGCTGTGAGAGCAATACTTCCCAATAAGAAAGGCCATCTTTCAGTTTTGAAATGTTTGTTCACTATATTTACAGGATGCCATCAGACTGTATTTTGAGCTTGTGTTGTCGTTGACCAATACCTGAGCCGTCCAAAACTCTCAGTCTCCCATGCCAAGCAAAATTCTGGAGCACTACCGGAAATCTCACAAACTGCAGAAGGCAATGAAGGGCCAATCCAAAGAAAGCTTCCAATTCCACAATAAAACACAAATGCTCCAGCAAAGTCGATAGTCAAGAGCTTTTTACGAAGCCTTTTAATAACTGCATTTCAAATCCCTTGAAAAGCATTAAAGTAACTTTTGCTATGTTTCGAAAATTATACACCTTAAAGCACTGAGCTTACCACTTAAGTAAAGCACAGTGAGGCTAAAAACTAGATCATGTGTTTGAAAATGCCTGCAAAATCAGACATGCCTGCGGGAACTGCATGGTTTTCCTACTGAATCAAACTGGGGGTGGGTGGGTGGGTGCTCTGTTCCTGGTGAGGGGAGTCTTTGGGGTCACACACAGGCGGCTATGGGAACCAAGGAAAGTTAATTCAAGAGGGGCATCACTTGAGATGTTGAGAAAAACATAGTTCAGATTTTCTAAACTCTGTCAGCGCTGGAGATCGTTATCAGCCCGTGCTCCAACAAACAGGAACATCGGAACAGAACGTCGTTGAAAATGACTGGGCATTAGCGTTACCAAAGGACAAACAAGGTATTTGCACTCCGAGGCTCCGGCCTTTAGGCTCTCTCCCCGCCCCCCAGCAGTCTTCCATTTCCTGAACCTTTGGATTGCCACCGGCTTACTTCCTACATACACCTGGTTTGGGATGTCTTCCCCTTTAACAGTTAAAGCTAAAGTCCTGAGGCAAATTCAAGGGTTAAAAGTTCAGCGTCTACCCCTGTCCCGACCCTCCTAAAAGCACAATCAGCATCAGTCACTGGACAAGTTCGGTCCGGCAAATGATTAATTTTCGTAAACAACTCTGAATAGGTACGGCATCAGTGAGTGATAGGACAGACCCAAGCAAGCTCCGTGGTGGCTCAGGGACAGAGAGGCGGCATTAGGGTTGACTCGCAGCGGGAGCCACTGCAAACATTCAAGGCAGTTCCAACCACGCAACAGGTCCACGCACGCAGTGCCTTAGCGGCGGGCACTTGGCCACCAGCACCAGCTCTCCTCCTGCCCAGCACCCCAATGCCGCCATAGGGCCAGGGGAGCCGACCAAGCGCCATCTCTCCAGGGCACAGCCCACAAAGATAAGGCCAGGAGCACATTCCTTACAGATGCCAAGATACTGAGGCTGCCAGGTCCCAAATGTCCTCTGGGACTTGTTTTAGCCCAAAGCGAGGCGCTCCGGGCCACTGGCCCGGGAACTGGCGGCCAGCCGACCGGCCCTGGGGCGTGACGGGGCGCATGGTCGCCCCCAGCTGGGAACAGTTTGAGCTACCTGGTTTCCACCTAACAGGCGTTAGTTCCCAAAGGTCTCTCCACTAGCCAGAACCTCTCTCCACTCGCCAAGTAACTACTTGTTAAATACCAAGTCCTTCAGTATAAATGAAAAAGAACTTTTATTGGAGGATGGGGTTCGGGAAGCAAGGAGGGATGGGGGCGGCTGAGGGCAGTCGTGATTCCCCGCTGGCCAGGCTATGCCGGAGCCAAGCAGTCGGCGAAGGAGCGCGCAGACCGGGCCGCCGCGCCAGGTGAGGCGGGCACTCACCTCGGGGAGCTCCCGGAGCTGATTGGCGTCCAGCAGCAGCTCCTCCAGGCTGCGGGCATAGCGGTAAATCTCCTCGGGGACGTAGACCAGCGAGCAGTGGCGCTTGTCGATGGCCTCCACATGACGGTTGCACCGCCACAGGGGAATGCAGTGGAACATCGCCGCCCCCGCCGCTGCTGCCGCCGGAGCCGTGTCCCGAGCCGCGGAGCCCGGGGCTCGGAGCCTGGTCCGCCC